GGTGACAGGTCAAACAAATATAGTGGTGCTGAAGTTTTGGAGACCTCAGTGGCAGGTCGAACAAATACAGTGTTGGCGAAGTTACGGAGACCTTAGTGGCAGGTCGAACAAGTTAGAGTGGTAGGTCGATTAAAGTGATTTCAATTGTAAATGGACGATTTGATTAATGTAGAAACTCAGGGCATGCTTGTTTATGAAATAATTCATTTCCCACTCAAAATCTAATTCAACTTTAACTCAACCCCACTATCATTTATATTATTTATATAATTAAATATTATAAATCAATCATTCTTACATATCACATCCACTCACATAATTTTAATTACCTATCATTTCTAATCATTTATATCCTACTTTTACATCAAATCATTAATAATCATTTCCAATCATTTATATACCATTAACAATTAACCATACTACTTTTCTTCAAAATTAACTCTAGTTAACTAAAATAACTCATTTTGAATGAAATATTTCATAAACATGCACGCCCTTAGCAAGCAGGACCAAAAGCAATTGAATCTACTATTGGATCGAGTTATTCTAGCTCGACAAGAATGGGTGGGTGGGGGGACCAGATGATATGAGATACCAGACCGAGTCAACTAGACCCAAGAAACCAGCTAATGGAACAGAGTCCTCAGGTCGAACAAAGAGTCATTTAAAATGGGGTCCTTAGGTCTAATCAGGTCAGACGAAGTCCTCAGGTCAAACAGAGTCCTTAGGTCGAATAGGTCCTCAGGTCAAATGGAGTCATCAAGTCGAACGGGTCATCAGGCAAACAGAGTTCTAAGGTTGAACAGGTCAAACACACTCTTCAGGTCCAACGGGGTCCTCAGGTCAAGTGGAGCCCTCAGGTCAAACAACTACTCACGTCGACAAAGTCCTCAAGTCAAACAGGTCCTCAAGTTGAATAGGGAGTCAAGTCAAGCACAACATGTAATTGTTATGTATTTGTTTGGATTTGTCACCATACAAAGTTTTAAAATGACAATAAATTTATTCACTAAATATTTATCCTTTCATCACAACTTATATTGTTATTATATCTCAAGCTTTTGATGACAATTTTTTTCTTCGTAATCATAGAGCTAACAGTTTGGGCAGTGTGTGGTGAGTCTACTGAGTGAATGTGGGGGGACACCTCACAGTTGAAAAAAAATAAAATAAAATACGAAAGAAACAATCATACTTAAAAAAATCTGGAAACACGCATGCTATCATTAATTGCAATTTTTATTTTTATTTTTATTTAAATTTCCGCTTAAAACACATTGTCAATTCTGCTTTCTGACACTACATCCTTGCTTTAACCTAAACATAGAAAACAAATTACATTTAAAAATAATTCAAGTTTTTATGAACTCCTGATTATGAGAAACCTTTACATTTAGCAAAAGGTTCTTACGTAGGTTCAAGTTACAAGAATCACACATATGTGGAAGACAATTTGCCCTGCATCCAGCTCTTCAGCATCTCCAATGAAAATTCGGGCTGATCCATGGGCACCATATGACCCGAATTGTAAAACTTGAGGAATGTTAGCGGCCCATACCCCTTTTGCAGCCCGGCATCCACTCTGCCCACTCTAAATGGGCTTCCCTTAGCGGCCATAAACTGCTTCTGCCCAGACCATTGCATCGCGTGAACCCACCTCGTATTCCCTGGCCCAAACATTTGAATTCAAATATGTTAGATTTGCTTAACATATGGCGCTTACGTTTCAAGTGGTCTCAAGATTGAATTTTGGCTACAAAGATTAACAACAAAAACTCGAAACCATAAAATAAAAGCTTTTGTTACCGAGCCAATTGCATATGAGATCATATTCCCCAGCATATGACAGAAATTTGATCCCATCCTCCAAAAGTGCAGGAATTCCGACCGCGAGATTTCTCATCCAATCAGTGATCATAGCATTGTAAACAGTTGTGCTGCAAGACACGAAATCAATGTCCCCCACACCAAGGGCGATTTTCACCGACTCTAAGCTTAGAAATCTCTCCATGTTGGAAAAGTCGTAGCAAAGGCTGCCTTCGCATTTCTTTCTTATGTCATAGTACTGCAAGTGAAATATAAAAGAGAAGAACCACTATCAACTCCTAAGAACAGATTTTTCCATTTGTTAAGAGAAATATATTTTTCTTACATTTACACCATTGGCAATTTCCACTATCCCGTTGAAGACATTGTTGCATACCTCGTATGCCGACACACAAGAAGAACCACTATCAACTCCTAAGAACCCAAAAATTAAAATTAAAAACTAATACTAGATAATAAAAGCATAATTAATTTTCAGCTACGAATTTACCACAGAGCTTAATTGCTTGCTGACATTCCAAAACCGAGTGATTCATTCTGTCGTGATCAGATTTTGTGATCAGCTTCGTGTGCAGAGCATAATCAGTGTATGCCCCATACTGTATCTCGGGATTTGTTAGTCCATTGCCGATCGCAAATCCCTTAATAAAATGAGGAACAAATTACATGCAAAAAAAAAAATTTAGAAAAAGTCAAATGAAATTCCTTGCAGACTTCAAATAAATAATAATAATAATAATAATAAAGATTGAATACCTTTAGATTAATTTGAATTCCTTCATTGTTTTTGTTCCCTTGATGAACCCGGGTAGCAAAAGCTGGAATGTAGTGCCCGGCATATGATTCTCCAGTAATGTAAAAATCGTTCCCTGTCAATTGAGGGTGCGCCTTGAAGAAAGCCTGGCATATTTTAGGTATAATTATGAATCTCATTATTATATGCATATATACATGTATTGTGAGTATCTTATTCAATTTGAATTGATTCAACAAATACAAACCTGCAAGAAGTCATATAGATCATTGCTTACACCTTCCTCGTCATGCCTAATGTCGTCCTCTTCAGAACTGTAGCTAAAACCCGTCCCAATCGGTTGGTCCACATATATGAGATTCGATACCTACAGTTTATTCAATACCTCTAATCAACACACATGCACCATATATAACCAACTTATATGATAAATCAAATGTGGGGGTTATTTCATATAGAAAGCGTACTTTATCCCATCCGAAATCATTCAACGCAAGGGTTAAATTGTCCGTCACATGAAAAGGTCCATTTTCATAGAACAAAGCCAATTCACTGCTGCAACCGGGTCCTCCGGTTAGCCATATAACCACCGGATCACTCTNTAAAAAAAAAAAAAAAAAAAATTGCATATATCTGCATTGAATACACTACAAATTTAAATGAATACATACAAAAGGGATCTTTTACAACTCTGACAATATATATGGCCCCTTACTATTATCCTGTTATAAGAAG